TATGTAGCTTGCACAACCGTAACTCACAATTATTACTTAGGACTGTATGCTAAGGTGTGCATTCCAGGGTAAAGAAGATGACTGGTCGAGCATCGGAGCAGTTTGTCTGGTATCCTGAGCTTTCATATTCGAGTAGGAGCACATCGTCAGTGATAGCAGAGCAGCAGAAGTAGCAGCAGTTACGTTAGACGGGAGGTAGCTGCACATTGGCAAACTGAGTTTCCGCCTGTGGCAAGGCTACAACCATTTGCCTCCTCCGTAAGGGTAACATACATAAATGCATACGCGTTCATCCAGACACGAGACCAGGCGCGATGACCGGTTGGCTGTAGTTGGAAAAAATCAGTCCACCAAAGCAGGACTCTCTTGATGGAATTCTGGCTCACAACTTATCCTCCCATCCTCTCACTTAGCACCAACTAGCTGTTCTACCCTATGACGCAAAGTTCAGTACAACAGTTGCTAGACCAGAGGACTTTGTGGCATCCTTCCAATCGGCACTTCAGAAATACGAGGCAAATGAGGAGTGCAAGAATGCTATGCGACAACTTTACTCCTTCAGCGCAAAGGCCAAACAACCATTTCCAAAGCGGGAGAGCGAGAACTTCTGAGTATAAGAAAAATGAAGGATATCATCATGTTGCCCGCCGATAAACGACGCTCTACGGTGGTCATGGATATTGTTGAGTATAGGGCAAAGGTGGACAATCTCTTAATGGACAAGGAATTCTATACGCCATCAACTGCCAACAGGTTTAAAAAAACTCGTGAACAGTATGCATAAACAAAACAGTCGACAAGCTGAGGAAAGCGGGAGCCCTCACGAGAAGAGAAGCACTGGCCACAAAATCCACTGATGCCGCGATGGCGCGCTTCTACAGTCTGCCAAAAGTCCACATGTGAGGAGTGCCCCTACGCCCCATCGTCTCATTACGTGACACCCAACCTTTGGGCTGTCAAAGTAGTCGTAACAGTTACTTTCTTTCCTCACCAAGGAGTCGTCGTGGACAGTGAGGTCGGCTGAAGACTTCTCGACGCGCATTAGGCATCTCGAGGTAAGGGCAGAGGAGTGATGATGTCATTCTATGTGATCTCATTATTCACCTCCATTCCGCCCGCACTGGCTATCAGCACTATTGACGGCGTCCTTCGGAAAAATATGACAAGACCGAGAAGCAACTCAAATGAAAACACACCATTGAGCTCTTCGAACTGTATTTAAAGACCTTTTTCACCTTCAACGGCCAAGTGTACGAGCAGAAGAAGAGGACACCATTGGGCTCCCCTCTATCTGGACTCATTGCAGGAGCGGTTCTGCAGAGGCTTGAACACCTAGTCTTCAGCTCAGACTCCCCGAATTCTGGGCCCGATATGCCGATGACTAATTCGTCATACAGAAGCGGAGGCACGTGCAAGCTTTCAAGGCATTATTGAATTCGATCTTTCCAAACATCCAGTTTACCATGGAAGAAGAATTCAACAATCTGTTGCCGTTCCTTGACGTCTAAGTTACCAAAGTGGCAGACGGGAAGATAAGGACAACAGTTTACCGTAAGAAAATTAACATCACGCGCATTCTTCGCTTCCAAAGCAACCACCCTGCTGGTCACAAACGCAGTTGTGTCC